TATATATATATATATATATATATATATATATATATATATATATATATATATATATATATATATATATATATATATATATATATATATATATATATATACATATATATATATATATATATATATATATATATATATATATATACATATATATATATATATATATATATATATATATATATACATATATATATATATATATATATATATATATATATATATATATATATATATATATATATATATATATATATACATATATATATATATATATATATACATATATATATATATATATATATATATATATATATATATATATATATATATATATATATATATATATATATATATATATATATGTATATATATATATATATATATATATATGTATATATATATATATATATATATATATATATATATATATATACATATATATATATATACATATATATATATATATATATATATATATATATATATATATATATATATATATATATACATATATATATATATATATATATATATATATATATATAAATTGAATTTTGTTTTATATATAAAACAAAATTCAAATGTTATTTTATTTATTTGTTAATTAAATAATGTTTAGATAATATTACTTATACTTATAATTAAATTAATTATATCCTGGGGCCACAGTAACAGGGGGTCAAGGGGGCCATACCCTCCCTCCTCCTCCCAGATTTTTTCATAAGGTCTTTTTATTTTTTTTATTGAGTGGGTTTTTAGTAGTACTTATTTTTCTATAGTAGGTTTTTTTAATGCATTGGCCCCCATTAAAATATTGTGCCGTGACCCATGCATAATAAATAAATAAAAATAGTTACAAAGCTCAGGGAAAACCCCATTATTTTATTTGAAAGAACTTTTGTATTGATGTCAAACATCACTATAAAAAGCGCATTAATCAGACTAATCTTATTTTTAAAAAAAATTAGTAATGAGCTGGAACTTTCCTTCACAAGAAACAAAATGGCGTTTAAAATTAGGATGTTTTTTGTTAATATCTCATTCAATAATTTGTCTTGGAAAGTTTAATTAGTTTTAAACTTTTTTTCTAATGTTTATTTATGATATAAACACAACTTGTCTTGGCACTTGGGGATCCCTTTAAAAAAAAATAAAAAAAGCCAAAATGACTAAATCAATCTATAAAAAAAATCTTTACATAAAAAGATGAGTTTGATCTTTTTACATATATAGTTTCATAGTATCATTGTAGTTTAAATTAAGCTAAATTTTTCCAGAGTAGCTCGAGCATTAAATGTAAAACTATTTTTGATTTACTTTTCATCTTTGTATAGGTGTGATTGCTAAAATGTAGCACATTAAGAATTAACTTGTTTATGTTTTGTTTCTTATTTTTTATAAAATAATTTTACAGAACAAAAGATGCTGTTTCATTGCCTGTAAGTAAAAAAAAAATAAAAAATCATTTTTAAATTCTCTAAATATAAAAATTTGCAGTTAAAACCTTGTCAACGAAATAATTACTTAATGATGTAATTCATTTTGTTAATGAAAAGCGCCAGAACTTAAGAAAATGTTTGTAGTTTTAACTTACGTTACACAAATTTAAAATAAAATTGTGCTCTAACTAAGCATTGTTATTCAAAACTTTAAATGCAAAAATTTTAAATTTAATATTATTTCGCATATATTAATAAAAAACTTGAGTTTTTTAACTCAATTTTATAACAATCGAAACTTTATCATGTTTTGGTTTACTTATGTTACATGAAAATTGCAAAAGTTCATTCGTTATTTTCTTAGAATATATATACTTTGTAAAGTATAAAATCTGACCAACAACAATTTGAACATGTTAGCTCCATTTTCAAGCTAATTTAATTCCTATTATGCAAATAAATTCATGGTTATAATAACATTTTACAATGATACCTTTTTTATCATGTGACAATAAGAAAAACCGTAACTTTCGGAAGCATAAAAACGACTTAATTAGTTTTAGTGCTAAAGGTATATTTTAAATAAATTTTCATGTGTCGACATCAATATTCATTTGCTAAAAGTTGAAGAAAAATAGAATAAAATTTGACTACTTTTTCATTTTGCGCTGTGGAATTGTTTATATAAAGGTATTATTTTAATAATAATAGTAATAATAATAATAATAATACAGTAGCCATGGTGCAGCAATAGCGCGCTTGCCTCAAAAACAAAGGATCCGTGGTTCAAACCCCACCTCTGAGCAAGTTTTGCGACATTGGTTTGTAAGTAGGTATGAACTTCCATTTAAATGCTCATCTGCAGTGCTCTGTGATAAGATCGTAAGGACTTCTTGGGGCACCTAAATAAAATGCATCCACATTGGCTAAAAGGCTGGTGCATAGGTACAATTTATATATGCAAAATATATACCTAATATTATTATACTACCTTCATATACATACATTAAACCCTATTATTAGCCACAATCGGCCTTTTTCATTGGTACATCACTATTCAAAGGTAATGAATGTTTTGTCTAAGTCAGTGTTCAATAATGCCTGAATTTTATTTTTATTTATGGTGATGTTAATCAATCTATCTGGTGAGTTAATTGAGACTATGACTGAAGAGAGTATTGTACTCTTGTCCTTATCGTCTGTGCTTTTTTTTTAAATCACGGCTATCTTAGTGTAGGTTTTATTCTCTGTTTTTCGACAGACAAACGCTTGTCTAGTGACATTTTTTTTTTAAATTTATGCAGGTAGAATTACGTGCTAGGCATTTTGTTTTGTCAAAAAGCAAGAGGTTTTGGTAATTGTTTGATTTTTTGTAGCTGCAAAACTTGGTAGTACGGTTGTAGCAGTCATGGTTTTCATTGTTAGATTGAGAGCATCTTCAGCGACCAATTCCATAGTAAGGGCTGTTTTGTAAAGTACATCTAGATTCTTTTCTGTAGATTCGAGTTGTCACTGTTGAATAGTAGGCGAGTAAATCACTGCAATAAAGGCATCACATACTAACAAATTTCTATGTTGATTGGCAGTAAGGGACTGTGAGACTTTTTTTTGGAGACTTTCTGGCAAACTGTTTGAGGTTAGTCATAAAGTTTTCAACTCATTCTCTCTCATGTTGCTTAAGTGATTGAAAATTGTGATACATCATGATTGCTGTTGACCATTTTTGAAATTTGTGATAGAGTTTGCTATTTCCTCATAATATAAGGTTGCATCTTGAAGTATGGTAAACACTTTTACTCCACATAAAACAAATAAGACTTCAAGTTTACTTTCTAGAACGTAATTAATGTATATATAGTTTACTTAAGTGTCAAATCTTACACAACGGAAAATGACATCACCGTTTTAGAGTGCACTATTCAGGCCTTGTGATGAATAAAAACTGTGCGACGCATAAGCAAGACATGATTTTTGACATCATTAAATTCTTTTTATTTGCTTTTCATATTTATTGACATTGACTGCACCAATTTACTTAATTACCGCAAAACTACTTTAAATCATTAATTGTAGAAATGTTATTATTTTAAAATGTTTTGGAATGTTTCGTTTTTTAAAATGTAAAAACATTTGTTTATTTTCTTGACGTTTGACACGTCTTGTCTATACTAAACGAATAAAAAACATTATAACTGAACATTTAAAAAAGATTATAAAATATGCTAATATTTGATTTTTTTTCCTCAAATATGTAATTTAAAGTTTTTCAAATAATTATTTTTTCTTTTTAAAAAATAAGCAAGTAATAAACTGGAAATTTTAATATTGTTTAAGCGGTTGATAAGCACAATCACATGTATTAATAAAAAACTTTAACAAACGTTTTGAATAGATTTTTTATGTTTACAATGAAATTTATTTCTAGTAAAATAAGTAAAAGAGTTTCTGTAACTTTTAACAAAAAAGCAATTGTTATTATTTAAGTGATTTTTTTTACAAAAATTTTAATAACTGTACTTTTTTATTGAATCAAGTAGAATACGTTTTAATATTAATCCTTTTATTTTTTTATTTGCGCTTACCAATTTTTAAAATGTTTTCTTGAAATTACTCTTAAATATTTTAAATAACAAAGTCTAACAGTTAATAAATACTTTTAAATCTATGGAATACTTTTAAAACCTAACAAACAACCGTAAAATAATTATTTAAGTTAAAAATCTAAAACTAAAAGAAAGTATTTTTGTTCAGTTTTATCGACAACTTTGCTATTGCTGAATAATTTTATTAAAATGTTAGCTTAAAAAGATTAAAACTTTTTTTTTAATCTGAATTTTTTCTACTTGTAAATAATGAGCATATTTAATTTTTTTGTAATTCAAACTTTTATATCAACTGCGTGCGGTTTTTAAAATACTTTATTAAATGTTAAAATAATCGTAAATTACTTCATTAAAATTCCGCTCAAAAATATCTTTAAATATACTCAAACAAAAATTTTTTTGCTCGACTCAAATAGCCCTAGCTACACGCAAAATCGCTTTTAGATGATGTAAAATTCGCCCGATGCTTTATCGCAAGGCCTGACTATTAATATAACAGTAACTAATTAATATAGCTATTGTATAAAGTACTAATTCAACTTGTAAATATTGGCACTTAAAAGATAAATCAGCAAACTCAACATTTGTTTTTCTGTCAATTTTATGCTAAATATTTGCACGTTCATTGATTTATTGAACCCTGTTTCTATTTTTTGACAATTTTATTTTATCTAATTTCAAGGACTGACTACTACTATTACCAATATATACATAATTGTATAATATATTATGTAATTTACATTAAAATTGTCCTGGCTAATAACTCCTGGTAATATTATTACTTAGCTGGGGCCAAGGTTGTAAAAAACTTGGGTTACTTGTTTAATAAAACAACCTGGGTTGCATGTTTAATAAAAATAGAGTTAAAAAAACTTGGGGTGATCCATGTGGCAACTTGTATAAAATGTGTTATATTTATTATTGAATTAGTCAATTTGTAACTATTTTTTATTAAATTTAGTCTGTTGGAGGAACTTTTGGGGAATCAAACTATGTAATCAATGATCCATTTAATATTTTGATGATTATTCGTAGCTTGTATTTAGTATCAAACAAGACAAAGGTAATAAGTTTGATTTATAAGTTTATCTTGAATTTAGTTTATAGCTTAACTTTATTTGATTTATAGCTTAGTCTGGTTGTATATATATATATGTATGTATAATAAAAAATAAATAAATAGAGAACCTTAAAAAACCCATTTAAGTTATTTAAAACTATGATTGAGTTTTTTAAAGTCTAAATAAATTACTATTTTTATTAAAATAGTAACTAGAAAACAACAATAATTTAATAATTGCAATCATATGTTAATTATAAACATATAAGTGTAGAGGATGAAAGTATTATTAAATATAGACACTAATTTGTAGAAACTTGCAGTTGTAAAAATTATTTAGTTTTATATTCATTGCATAGATTACTCCCCATTCCTCCATCATTTAGCAACTATGGATGCTTTTGCTTTTTAATTGCCTCCAAAATGTAAGTAGGAAACTCCAATAAGTTGGCTATACCCACCAAATAATATGATTGGTAGATGTTCAATAAAATCTGTCCTGGTTAGATCAGGAAGTAGTTTATCATCTCAATGCACAACCAACATCAGGGATAAAACATGTCATTAGGGTCTCAACATTTAAAAAAAAACTTTGAATGTTAGGTATAACGAAAAAAAAAAATTTTTAATTTGGTAAAATTATTCTTAAAATTAATCTTAAATTTAAGTCTCCGACCCCCATCCATGGTACTGGTAGCTATAATTTGGATTTTATCAATATTTAATGTTTTTATATGATATATGATATTTATAAAGATACTAATAAAAAGTTGTTTTGTATTGTTTTGTAAATTTTTATTAGAAACTTTTATTTCTAAACTTTTCTCATGGCATTATCCATGGCCGTCAACACCAGGTTAGGTGTTGACGGCCATGTCAACATCGGGGGCCGTCAACCTTGGTGTTGACAACCCCCAAGTTTTTTTTTTAGGATAACTTTTTTTATCTTAAAATGTAAGATTTTTTTTTTAAATTGGAAAGTGAGCGTCTTTGAAATTTCCCCCACTTTCAAGGCCGTGTTGACGGTCATGTTATCACTTTAACAGAAATTTAACTTATTTAGCCGCGTGTCAGAATATATTTAATAAAATTTGTTTTGTAAAATTTGTATGATATTTTTGATTTTAAAAAATTGCAATATTTTTGAAGATTGCAAGAAATTGTTATTATTGAGTTAATGGTTCCACAAATAGAATAAATACAAGTCAAACTTTTATTTGTTATTCACGATATTGTTTTTTAATTTAAATGCAAATTTGACATTAATTGAAAAATACTCATTATAATGCTTTTTTTAAACGTGCACTGTGACGGCATTCACTATGTGCACCATCTGTCTTGAATTTTTACTTTCTAAACAAAAATTACAACGCCATGTTGCGCTGTTATCGGTTGCTCTAGCAATAACAAATCGGGTTCTCATATATCACTTCATAGATTACCCTTAGATCCAATAATTGCAGCTTTGTGAAGGAGGGGGGCTTGGCCCCCACTATTTAAAACTCTTTCTTTTGGTCCCTTTAAAGATTTTTTAAGTTTGATTTTTACCCTAACTTCATACGATAACAGTAATAATCAAAACTAGAAATGAAACTCATAAAATAAAAAAAAACTGTGTATTTCATACTTATGTCATATCAGGATGTTTTCCGAAAAATTATGCTGATCGGAACAAAAATGGCTATAAAAGTAGACATTGCCCTCCCAAATGTGGGCAATCAGTTTTAAATATCCTAGAATATCTTCAAGTTTCTAAAATATATATTATATATTCTATTGCGCATAAAGTTTTTTTAGAATTTGTGGCTGGGAAAATAATAGGCACTTTCATATCCACCAGTATATTTCCAGGCATCTACCACTTCAGATATACCTAAGGCACCTTCGTCATCACCTTCGAAATTCATATAAATTCCATTAACATCTGGAAACCTGGATCTTATTGCTGAAACAACACATGCTGGTAGAACCTTTCGATTATACTTTCCGAATTTACAGTATATTAACCATGTAAACTAACGATAATGTTCTTTAAAAGAAACAGATAAATATTTTTCAATAAACAAAGTTGTATAAATAAAATCAAGTTTAACGTAAGACAACTAAATTGTAAATATAAAAATACTTGTTCTGGGTTTCTTCGAATGAATCTGGCATCCATGCTCCTTCTTTGTCATTCAGACTGGCCATTCCCAGTGGGCACCGGACCTAAAAAAGACGTCTTTTTTACGTCCGTGTCCACTGTGTTGATATCCATAATGGATATGGCTCAATGCAGCCTGTTACAAAACTTCTGTGTTCTGTTATCCACTTTTGGTCTAAAATAAAATAAAAATTATTTTTAACTTACATAGCCATTATGTGACAGTTTGTTATAACTTTTAATTTTAATTCTGCTAACAATAATACATTAATTTATATTTTTAAATAATATTATAGTTGTTTTATAATACCTGTGGCAATATTTATTGCTTTTATTAAAAAATAACAAATACATTCTTTTTAAAGTGACATTGTTTTACAGTATCCACATTTACACCATTGTAAAACAACTACGCTCAAATGATTTAATTTCGGCGCCACAAAGTTCAAATTTACATAGCTGATACTATCGTCAACTATTTCATTTTTTGGATCTTTATTGGTTTTTTTTTTTTAAAAGGTTCAAATGAGTATGGAGTTTGCCGACATTGATAGAGTCTATGACTAGGAGAGTTCTTTCATGTATAAAAGCCTGCGGTGGTCATTTTAAATTTTGAAATTTGAATTTTTTTGAAATGTGCTATATTTAACTGATTTTTTTTGCTACCCTTATTTTTTATGTCTACTTGTTTTCTTTCATTTTTTTTTTTTTTTTTTAATATTTTTTTGCAATTTTTTTTTACTTAAATTATAAAACATACCTTATTTAATAAAAAAAATTATGTAGGATATGCCTTATACAGTACACTGAGTACTATCTATGAGATACAGTGCACTGAGTACTATCTATGTTTCGAGTCAAGTTCTTTAACAAATTTAAAAATGAATAAAGTAACAAAAACTATAAAACACAAAAAACCACAGTCATCACCAAGTTTGCTAAACCTGTCATTCACCAATATTCGTGGTCTTCGAAGTAACTTTTCTTCTGTTGAGTCTTATCTCTTGCAAAGTTCACCAGACCTACTTGCTCTTTGTGAGACTAATTTGAGTTCAGCTGTCTCATCTTGTGATCTTAGTGTTGATGGTTATCTTCCTTTAATTCGTAAAGACTCCAATAGTCACATGCTTAGCCTAGGCATTTACATTCGTAAGAATTCACCCATTTGCCGGGAAACTAGGTTTGAATCCACAGACTACTCTTTTATGTGCTTTTGTTTAGCACCACTTCACTCTATCACCTTTCTCTTTGTTCTATATCGCTCTCCTTCATCTCAAGACTGCACTCTTCTTGATGTTATTTCTAATTATATTGACCAAGCCCTCATTCTTTATCCATCAGCCACTATTGTTGTTGTCAGTGACTTTAATGTTCATCACACTGAATGGCTCGGCTCTAGTGTCAGTGACTCTGCAGGCATTAAGACCCACAACTTTTGCCTTTCTCAATCCCTAACTCAAATAGTCAACTTTCCAACTCGCTTTCCCGTCAACCCGAATCATTTACTTTCTCTACTCGACTTATGTCTTGTTTCTGATCCTAGTCAGTGCTCAGTTCCTCCACACTCGCCCTTAGGTGCTTCTGATCATGGTTTGGCCTCTCTAAAACTATTATCTCATTCTTCTTTACCATCAGAATCCCCCTATCATTGTACATCTTACAACTACCTTAAAGCTGACTGGGACTCTTTCCGTGATTTTCTTCGTGATGGCCCCTGGGTAGAAATCTTTCGTCTTCCTGTTGACAAATGTGCTTCTTACATAACTTCATGGATCCAGGCTGGCATGGAATCCTTTATTCCCTCTCGATGATTCCAGGTCAAACCTCACTCTTCTCCATGGTTTTCCTCACATTGTGCTGCTGCAATTGCTAATCGAAACCATTACTTCCATATCTATCAGCAAAACAATTCTCCAGAAACAGGCGTCTGTTTATTACTGCTAGGAACCATTGTAAAAAGATTTTGTCTAACGCCAAAGCCCGCTATTCTCAGATCATGAAATCTCGTATTTCATCACAAAAATTAGGCTCTCGTGACTTCTGGAGAATCTTTAATAGTATCAATAATAAGGACTAGTCTGTAACAGGGTTCCCACACCTCCTTAAAAACCTTAAATATACTTAAAAACCTTAAATATCCTTAAAAAAAAAAAACCTCCTTAAATGTCCTTAATTAACCTTAAAAAAAGTTAAAATTTGACTGCTCTCCTTAATTTCTCCTTATTTTTTTTTTTTTTTGTTGATCTAGAAAAAATTTTTAAAGTGAATGGATTATACTTGTTAATAAAGAAGATAATATATAGATTTTTGATAGTTTTTAAACCTATTTTTGTTATTATATATATATTAATATTTATATATATATATATATATATATAAAGTAATAATAATTTTTCTGTTTATATTTAAAATTTATTGAAAAAAATAAGATGTTTTTAATGTAATCGTTTTCTCCTTAATTATCCTTACTTTTTCTTTCAAAAAAATGTCGTTCGCGACCAAATCTCCTTAAATATTAGGAAAATATCTCCTCCAATCTCCTTAAAATCCTTAATTTTAGTCTTAGTTTTAATAGTGGGAACCCTGTGTAATTCCACCTCTTTTGTACGGTTCAGACTTTGTCACCTCACCTAAAGACAAAGCTGAATTGTTTGCCAAGAACTTTTCATCAATATCATTTCTTGATTCCGCTAGTTGCGTTCTACCTGATATAGTCGTCAAACAGGTTGATCCATTGCTCGACACCCGTATCACTCCAGCTTCTGTATCTAAAGTGATTTCCTGCTTAGATTCTTCTACAGCTTGCGGCCCGGACAACATACCTGTTATAGTCTTGCAGAAGTGTTCTCCAGAGCTGTCGTCTATCCTTTCAAAACTATTTAACAAGTGCTTATCAGAGTCTTGTTTTCCAGCCTGCTGGAAAGCAGCATCTGTTATCCCTATTTTTAAAAATTCTGGAGAGCGATCTGATTCGTCTAACTACCGTCCCATTAGTCTTCTTCCTATCATAAGCAAGGTATATATTGCAAAAATGCTGTATAAAACATATACAAAATTTAAATATCCAAGCATGTATAAGCTATTAATAATATAAATGTAAAATAAAATAAAATCTGTTGAAAATTTAACAAGTCATACTAAAGAACAAGTATGAGGTAACCAAAGAATGAGTTAAAAATATAGGTAATATATATAGAAAGTAATAGCTAAACAGAAATTGTTTATCTGTTTCTTCAAATTTATCTCATTAACTTATTAGATGCTGAATCTAAAACACATATCATTTAATTGCATGTAACAATTTTCATTAGCACAAAGATGTTTTATAGATTTAAGACATTTTGTCCCTTATTATGTTCAGATATCCCCGTCTTGAGATAGCAAGTAGTTCTATATAGCAAAAGTTACATTCTGTAATTTGTAGACCACTCTAGAGAAATAGGTTTTTTAGAAAGAAAGAATTTTGAATTTTTAAGTGAGGTAAATACTAATTCAGCAGTTACCAAACAGCAATATCTTTTTATAATAGAATTCTGTCTTTTTTAAGTTGAATTGGATATTTTTCCCAATAGTAGTAATTTAACATATGACAAAGATTTTTGATTTTTGGTTATTTAGGAGTATTATGTTTTATTTTTTGTGTTAATAGGAGTTATATATTTTTGAAATTAGCAAAGATGAATTCTTTAAAATACTTTTAGGAGATTGTTTATGACACTCAAGTTTAGTACTATTGATTTTAAATATTTTATTGATTAAGCATTTGATAACTGCCTTTTCTAGATGAATACCCTTTTTGGAAAAAAATATTTGGTTTACTAAAAAAAGACATAATTCAATTGCTAAAAGATATTTTTGTTTGGTTACTGTTAAATTAATTACCTACCTTTTCTTCTAAAAATTCAAATCATTTGTGGTTTTCAAATTCTTGAGTGCAGGATCGAACTTCTTGATTAACTATTAATTATTATAACTTATTCTTTTATTATAACTAATTTAGTAATTAGTTTAAACTAATTTATTCTTTATTTTTTTATTATTATATATTTTTTTGTACTTATATTAGGAAGACTTAACCTTAAGATAATATTTTTATCATATTAAAGAATTTTATAATAATTAATATAAAAATGATTCTAATCCTGACCCTAATTCTATTGGAACATTAGGTCAATCATTTGAGTATGTTATATTTTTTTCTTTTAGCTATACACACTTTCTACCTTTCAATCATTGCTGAAAAAAAGCATAAAAAATCTTCAGGCATGTGCGAAAGTTAGATTAATACCTGTTTTACTTGAATCTTTACCATCATTTGATAATGAAGAAGTAGCAGGTAAAGATGCAGTGTTTTTTAATTCAATTTTTTTTATAGTTTGTGGCATTTAGATATTGTTTTCAATTTCTAAAATTGTACTGAACCAGTGTTAATCTGATTGTTTTTGGATGCACATTTTTTTTATTAGCTAGGGTAATTTATTAATTTGGTTTAAAAACATATTTAAATATCAAAATTTTTTTGTTTTTATTATAAATAAAAAAAACTCAATCCAAAAAGATATTTAAAAAAAACAACAACAAAAAAAACATGTTGATTAAATATTGCAATTTTAAATCCAGTGTGATTTTTTTATAAAGAGCCTCTTTAGTTTGTCAAGGTTTCTATTTTAAATTTAAAGAATTGAGAGAGGTAACCACAATTTAAAAAAAAAAGATAGTCTCCTTGATAGTAGTGGCCCTTTTAGCCCATACTATTGTGCATTCATACATTTGTCAACCTTTTTTGGTTATGCCGCATTCTCAGATAAAGAAAAAAAAAAACAAAGAATAATAAAAAAAAGATTGCTGCACAAGCCCAAACCCTTAATTGATGTTAGGCCTTGCCTGTTATACCTATTTAGTCAATCTATGTATTAAAGCTATTTCAGTATGAGGTCAAACATGGAATATAAAATTTCTCTCTGGTAGTACCCCGCTCAACTTGTTTCTCTGCGCAGCGGCCTTGTTCATTAAGGTTCGTGTTTCGGAGTTATAGAGTTGAAAGAGGGTTATAACCACAATTAAGTAGCCTCCTCGTCTGTAGTGGTCTTCTCAACCTTGGGTAGGTGAAATAACAACAACAACAAAAAAAAAAAAATGTAATTCCTTTCTAAAATTTGATGTACAATTGAATTTTTCTTTTTGTTTTTGTTTGTTTGTATACAAGGTACTTTTCAAAGCTTTTTATGGTGCTGTTTAAGGTATTATTTATTGGTTGGTTGGTTTATTATGTCTTCCAAACCTTATATTTTATAAGTATTATGTCTTTCAAGCTTTACATGGTATAGGTTCAGCAAATGTTAAGTTAAACATCAAACAAATGTTAAGTTAAACTGCAGTATTTTTGGGACATCAAATAGTTTTACATCAGACACCATATAGTTTGACCATAGACACCACATAGTTTATATTATCACAAGTTAAAAAATAATTTACGCTGGTATTTCTTTTTTTTTCATCCAAAATTATAAAACTACCAGGGATTTTTTTTTTTCCTGACATTTTTTTCAACTTACAGTTTTTCCAGAACATTTTCAATACACACATGTTGAGGTACATATTTTTGTAATATATTTGTTTTTTAAGCTTTTTCACTCATCACTCATTGAAAAATTATGAAAAGTGTCAAAAAAAAAATTAGAAACAACTTAGCTAAAAGCAAAATTAAAAAGATTATAAGGGAAAAAAAATTCCTGATTTTTTCCGAATATTATATCCAAACAATTTTCAGGATTTTTAAAATATGACAATTTTTGAACTACAAAAATGCAGATATTTTTTTAAGGGAGTTTTCCACACCAAATTTTTCTTAAGTAGTACTTGATTCTAAGACATGGTGACATCCAGTTACTGAACCAATGCTTGCTAAGAAAGTCTTCAAAATCAATTTGTTCAAAAAAATATAAGCTGTTAAAAACCATACAAAAAAACCTTTTTGATTAAAAAGGAAATTTTATGCAAAATAAACCACTATTTAAATAGTGTTTTCTCAAGAATCACATTTACATTGATCTTTATTTTCAAGACATTACCTCGTAGACGTTACCTCGTAGACATTACCTCGTAGACATTACCTTGTAGACATTACCTCGTAGGCATTACCTCGTAGACATTACCTCGTAGACATTACCTCGTAGACATTACCTCGTAGATATTACCTCATAGACATTACCTCGTAGACATTACCTCGTAGACATTACCGCGTAGACATTACCTCGTAGACATTACCTCGTAGACATTACCTCGTAGACATTACCTCGTAGACATTACCTCATAGACATTACCTCATAGACATTACCTCGTAGACATTACCTCATAGACATTACCTCGTAGAGTTCAATAGAGAATATTAATCTACTTAAAATTACAGTTTGCCTCACTTGTACATTGGCTCTGTCATTTTGAATAAATCTAATGAAATCTAACTGTTTTGTTCTAATAAATTCCTTATTTTTTCTTATTATGCTTTTGATCAATAAAATTTTCAGAATATAGTTTCCCCAGTTTTGCATGGGTTATTGACTCAATTTAAGAGCTAATTGATACTCATTGACTCAACTATGATTAACTAAAAGTCAAGGTAGTTGAGTTGAAGTTTAAGATAGTCACAATAAAAAGATCTTTTTATAGAACTAATGGAGGAGCTGTTCAAGTTTTACTTTTTAATTTTAGACCATGTTATCGATCTTATTGGAGATATAGCTACCTATAGTATCACTGTTCAAGAACTGAAATGTTTTTTCTCAGCTTTGCAAAGAACAGAAGATTTTAAATGGGTAAGCTTTAAATTGTTAATCTTCTAAATACTCTTTACTTTGTATGTGTGGGTTTGCATAGCGAGACAATAATGTAATTTTTGTGTATATGATTTAACACAATATAAAGTTGCCAAATCATAAAACCTGGGTAAGAGCATCAGATTACACTTTAAAAACTGTTGCAAATGCAAACTTGAATAAGCTAAAACCTGTGTATATGTTTACTGATCATTTTTAAATTACTGACTGTATTGTAGAGATTTTATTGACTGAATTTTAGAATTTTTGTAAATTTTTTCATTTATTTACTGTTTTGGTTTAGAAAGGTTTTTGATTTGTATTACATTATTAAATTTTGAGCTTAATAATAAGTAGGACTGTAATCAACTGAAATCAACCCATTCTACTGTGAGCAACCTATACAGTTGCCTCATTCCTGCTAATCAACCTAAAGTTGTAACTAAAAGCATTTTATGTGCACTACACTAACAGGGACACCATCATGTGCAACATGGCATTGTTAATACTCTGATATTTTACAGCTGTTGATAAAATCAGTTTTTCTGAGAGCTGCCACAGAGTTTTGCTATCAGTGGACTTAAGACCACTAAATTGAGGTTTTGGCTGTGCCCTCAGAAAATAATAGAATGTGTTGCTTAGCCACCACCAAGGAGGCACAAGGAAAAAACTATGAGTAGAATCAAGGAGGCAGAATCAAAAATCCATGGGTAGAATCATAAAATTCTAGCCTTCATCATTCTAAGCAGAAAATAATTTAATACAGGTTTAAATCTATGCCAACTTGAACAAGTTATTTTAATAGAGAAACATTGAAAAATATTGTAGGAATAAGTAAAAGTTCTTAATATCATTATTGAACGTTAAAAAGTAAAATAGTCATTAGCATAGCAAGGTCATTATTTAAAAGTTTATAAATAGCTTTCTTTTTAATTTATTTTTTAATTCTCTTTTGTCAGCGCATCTATTATATTGTTAAGTTTAAAAATTTTTGTTTTTATTTTTTAAATCTCATACGTAAATATAATTTCTGTTTATTGTGTAATTTTTTTTAAGCATGAGAATTAGTTGTTAAGTCTTTAATTTGTTAAAGAGATAAGTAGATAGATTAACCTTGTTATTAATTTGTTTTAACTTATAATTTTGAAATAGGTAAAGTAAGTAGTAAATTTATATATACAAAAAATAGTTCAAAAAGCATCAGTTGTTTAAAATATCTGTAGACATCTGCATTTATGTGGGAATGTATAAAATAGTATTTTTTTTAATTTTATCAGCCTCCACACTCATTGAAGCTCTTGGAAATTCTTTGCAAAATGTCTGAGAAACATGGCCCAGATATATATTTCAATTTTTCTGGAAAACCTGGAGCAGTATGTTTTTTATGTTGTTGCTGAATTTTATTTATTTTATTATTATTATTATTTTTTTTTTACATTGGTAATGCTTATACTTGTTTATCTTTTTACATTAAATTTTTTGTTCAATATTTTTAGTTTATAACTATTCCTCCAATATCAAGGTGGCCTCATCAGCCTGGATTCACATTCATTACATGGCTTCAACTTGATGCTGCTCATCTTTCTCCTAGTGAGCAAAAAAGTAGACCACATATATACTGGTAGTTAAATTAGTTACAGATTAAAAATATATAAAAAGCTTGATCTAACATATTTTTTTATGTTAGCTCAAGCTTCTTTTGCTGTTGTTTTGATTTTAATAGTTTATTATTATTATGTCACTTTTTTAACAAGTTATTCTAATTTAATCACATTTTTATTTATACTTTTGAGGTGAAGTTTATTGATTGAAAGCATTTTTGTATTGTTCTTCCTTTGCGAGGTTTTGAAAGCATTTTGATATTGTTTTTCTTTTGTGAGCTTTTTGGCAATGTTCTTTATTTGCAAGGATTTTTGAAAATATAAAAATACTGTAGTACCATTTTTATGGCACAATAGCCTACAAATACTAGAATGTTATAATTTCCAATTTCTTCTTTTAAATCTTGTTCAGTATTCATTAAACTTTTATTAAAAATAACCTGCAACAAAAAACGTATGGGTAAAAAAAAAGAGGGTAAACTTATGGGTAAAAGAACTTTATTATCTTAAACTAAATAGCAAGTAATTGGAATGTATAAATTAAAACAAATAAACTGATCGTGAAATCAGTAGATGTTTGAATATTTCTGGGTTTCACATTGTAAAAAATTAGACAACAACTGTAGTAATTTGGAATAGTAAACTTTGTATTTGATTTTGAAAAAAACTGTCAGTATATGACAAGACATGCTATATATGGTTAGCAAATATGATTCTAGAGCAGTAGTATTGGTTTTGAGTTTATAAGTCAACAGTTTACTTGATATTTAAATGTAAAAGTCAACTGTTTACTTAATATTTAAGTGTACAAGTCAACAGTTTACTTGATATTTAAGTCAACAGTTTGCAGTGAATTGTTCTATAATAAACAAGTTTTTACACCAGTAAGAATTAAATTTGTTGCCCTAAAGGAAAAAATGGGTTAACATGGATTTAAATTGAACAGTGAAATAGTGGAAAATGGTTCCTCCTAGCAACTAATCTAATTTTAAAATTGTTAGCAGTAAAAACAAGAGGTGAAAAAATGCTAAGAAATGTTTGATGCAGCAATACAAAGCTGTTTTAAAAAATGCAATAGCTCTAATGGAAGATAAGATGTATATCATCAGTTGTCACAAAATCTAACAAAAAAGGTTTTATTAGAATTGCTTAATTTAAAGTCAACAGTTTACTTGATATTTAAGTGTACAAATCAACAGTTTATTTGATATTCAAGGTCAACAGTTTGCTTGATACTTGATTGTACAAGTCAATAGTTTGCTGGTGAACAGTGAGTTGTTCTATAAAAAGCAAGTTTTTATACTAGTAAGAAATAAATTAGTTAAACTCATTAAATCATTAAACAAAATGATGACAAAAACTGAATCCTGTTTGCTTATTAATTTTTAAAATTTTTGAGTTTTACAAAGTTAAGTATAAAAATAGAAAAAAGAAGAGAATTAAAGACAAAAGTTTTATAAATGCCTTATGTTTTTTGTCTTATGTCTTGCCTTATGTTTGATGTGTGGTTATTTGGCATTCTAATGTCTTGTTTTTTGTTTTTTTTAAAGGGTTGTCTTTTACTAACAGTTTCAACTTGCTTACAAGTCATAACTTAGCATTTTTTTTGGGAAGATGTACCTTTCACAAATCAAAAATTAAAATAATAGTTGAAATAACTTTTTTATTAATAACTTGTTGTAAATTGACCTGTATAAAAATTTCTGTGCACTTACAATCCTTAAATACTTAAATTTGGCTTTAAATAAAAGCTACTTTTCTTCTATAATTCTTGTAAATTAAAATTCAGTCATTGCAAGAGCTATATATTTTTTTGTGTACGCTTGAAATAAGCTAGCAAGAGCTAGCTTATTTCAAGCGTACACAGGATAGTTATTACTTTTTCAAGTGCACACGGCTTATTACTTTTTCAAGTGCACAATTATTACTTTTTTAAATTAGGCAACAGAAATTTAGAACAATTGAACACTTTAAACCACATAAGATTACCAGTTTTTATTTTATCTCATCCCTAAAAAAAAGATATTCTCAGGTCACAAAACCTAGTATCTCATCTCAAAAATTAGGTTCCAGAGACTTCTAGAGAATCTTTAACAGTTTCTATAATAAGGTAAATCTGTTATGCCTCCTCTCTTGCATGGTTTAAATTTTGTTTCCTCACCTAAAGACAAAGCTGAATTGTTTGCTAAAAAATTTTCATCAGTTTTATCTCATGATTCCACCCTCATATGACCTGATATAGTCAACAAACAGGTTGATCCATTGCTTGACGTTTGTATCATTTCAGCTTCTGTATCTAAAGTGATTTCCTGGTTAAACTCTTCTATAGCTTGTGGTCTAGTCAACATATCTGTTATAGTCTTGCAGAAGTGTTCTCTGGAGCTGTTATCTTCTCTTTCAGAACTATTTAGCAAGTGCTTATCAGAGTCTTGTTTTCCATCCTGCTAGAATGTGGCATTTGTTATCCTTATTTTCAAAAATTCTGGAGAAAAATCTGACTCTTAACTTCTGCCCCATTAGTCTTGTTATTATCATAAGCAAGTTTGAGTCTTTAATTAACAAACACTTAATCTCTCATCTTTAATCCAATAACCTACTTTCTGATCATCAATATGAGTTTTGATATTCTTGTTCTACTATTGATTTGTTAAGGGTAATAACTGATAGGCTTTATTGTGTATTTGATAGCTGTGGAGAAGTTAAGGTTAGTGTTCTCAACATTTCTAAACCATTTGATAAAGTTTAACATGCTGGTCTTCTTCCTTACCAATTGTAATATAAAAGTTGTCTTGATGAACAGTATTCTTCTTCATATCCTGTAACTTCAAGGGTTCCTCAAGGTTCTATCTTTGGCCCTATGCCTTTTTAAATTTACATTACCAATCTCCCAGATATTGTCACATCTAAGGTGACATTGTTCGCTGATGGTACTATCATTTATTCTTGTCTTGATAAGAGGCAAACACTCTCTGATTGCTTGGGGGGGGCATTTGAATTTGAAAAGGATCTCATTTGTGCTACAGCATGGGTTCAGCTCAGTGGCTGGTAAACTTTAGCTCAGATAAAATTCAATTTTTTTCAGCTATATCAAATCCATTGCAATCCATGTGCTCCAAGAAACTTGGACACAAATTGATCCAGATACTACAAAACATACTACAAATGAATAAGTTGCATCAATACAAAATCAACTTGCAGAAGTCATAAAGTTAAAGCCAGTCCGATTCAATATTAAAAAGTTAAATCAATTTAGTTCATTTGAGAAAAATATTTATGTGTGGGTGTATATATATGTGCAATTGTGTATGTATATATATTTATGTATGCAGCCCTCTGAATTAGGGTCAGCATTCGGCAATGCTGACCTAAATGCTGACCTATAAGTGTTTGAGGTCGGCAAAAAAATTGCTGATCTTGTTTCTATGTTTTGTGGTTAGACCTCATTTTTCCTAATTCCGAGATTGATGTATGTATGAATTTTTTTTTATTTTTAATTTTAAAATTAGATTTTAAAGAAAAATTGTTTCTTTCAATTTTTGAAAGAAAAATGATTTGTATCATATATGTTATTCAAACATAAGATTTTATGTTAAGTAAAATGCTTTGCATTTGTAAAAGTATTAAAAATAATTATATATTTTTTATAGCTTCATTAACAATCGTGGGTTTGGTTATACTGCACACTTTTCTGGACCAATGCTTGTGATAGAAGTATTGTGTAAAAATGGAAAGAAAAATACACTACTTGTCAAAATGAAGTTTGAGCCACAAATGGTTTTTAAATTATACTTTTCAATATTATGTGCAATTAACAGTTAAATCTGTAGTTAACATACTACAATATAGTCAAAATAATAGAAATATCAAGTTATGAGATTTAATGTAATAATTCAGTGATATTATTTTTTTATTTATAGTGGTATCATATTTGTGTTTCACATGTTTACAATCGTTTTAAATCCAGTCTTGTTCAAGTATTTGTTAATGGTCAAATGGTTACCGCTGCCGATGTTTCTATTCCATCCAGTAAAGATCCTGTTGATAAAGCTTTTATTGGTGGCTCTCATATTGAAACCTCAAGTCATGTATTCAAAGGTCAAATGAGTGCAATTTATGTTATTGCAGAACCAATTACTTATAATCTAGTTATAGCACTCTATCGTTTAGGACCTGGGTACAAGGTAAATGTTTAGGTTATGTACAAGTCTATGAGAGTATACATCTTTTATCATTTAAGACCTTAGTACAGAGTAAATGTATAAGTTACATTGCTTTAAAATAGTGTTCTAATTTTTTGATTTTTTTTGTTGCTTTTTTAGGGAAAGTTTAAATTTCCAAATGAGCTAGAGAACAATATTTCTGAAACTGATAGAAAGGTTAATTTTATGACAAATAATAGTTTTGTGCAGGTATTAATAATGTGTATTAAGGTCTGTATAGTATATTATTTGAAATATACTCTTTAATCCATACACTATTTATAAAGTGTCTGGATTTAAGACTAAAAAGGTGTCTGAATTTAAAACTAAAACTACTTTTTAGAAAATGTCTAGATTTAAGACTAAAACTACTTTTTAGAAAGTGTCTGGATTTGAAACTAAAACTACTTTTTAGAAAGTGTCTGGATTTAAGACTAAAACTACTTTTTAGAAAATGTCTGGATTTGAAAATGAAACTACTTTGCAGTTTATTTTATTATAAAGCACAAGAAAGTTTTAAAAATCAATAATAAAAAATAAGTTTTTAATAAAAAATTATAAGTTTATATTTTAAGTAAACTTTTAAACTAAGTTTAAGTAAACTTTTTTTTTTTTAATGTTTTTTTGATCACTAGTTATTTTTCATCCTATTTATATAATAAAATATTTATGGTCTTAAAACATTACTACACTGTACTTCTTATTATTCAGAATGTCAAAGAAATATTAACTTTTGTTTTTATTTCAATTTTCAAATTAGTTTTATAACTATGATTTTTCTATCTAAAACATTTGACGTATTTTGATTATTTAATTGCAACTTTAATTTAATAGTTTAACTTTATGATTTTAAATGTCTTTATATTTATTATCATAAAACTTTATTAAATTACTTTTGGGAGATCAAAATATATTTTTTTTTTGGAAGTATCATAATCATTTATGGTTGAAAGTTGTTTTTTCGAGCATTGTTGATATGTGTACTAAAGCCTTGTATCTCTATTTCAGTATTGTTTTATGCATACTTAAATACACATTATATGAATTATATGCTTAATACAAGATACATATTGCAAAAATATTGTAATTTCTTTTTTTTATATACATATACAGTTGATTTATGAAAGTAAGCTTTCTCAAAACATCTTGTTTTCATACAATCCTAAAGCTGTTGATGGTGAACTTTGCTTAGAAGCTTCACCTTCTGAGAATGCTTCATGCTTTTACCAGTCACCACATGCTCTAATGAATGAAGTAAGTCTTAATTATTACTACAGATTTGTTAATTATACAAATATGTATTATATATTATATAATGTTATATAATTATATAATTATTATGTTGTAGTATTATATAATTTTATGTTATAATTATATTTTGTAATGTTTTAATTATTTCACAAGAGATTTATAACTTTTTAATAAGAAAACCGTGATAAGAAAAGTTATAAAGATGTTTTGGGGTCATGCTAGAACCTGATAGAAGTAGAACTTGATGAATAAATACAATATTTTTTGTGTGTATTCAGGGTGTTTATGGTGTAGTTACAAACTCCTTGCAAGCTGCTATGCATTCTCTTGGTGGAATTCAGGTTTCAATTTTGTAATTTTTTTGTTTTTGTTTTATTAAATTATTTTCTTTCTAAATGTTATTTAAAAACTATTCATAAATTTTACTAATTTATGATGTGTTATGACACTTTATTTATGATGTGTTGTGACACCTAATTTATGATGTGTTGTGACATCTAATTAGATGTGGTGTTTTCAAAAGTATTATAGTATTATTGTATAACAGCAATTATTAAAATTGCTGTTTGTCACATTAGTTATGATATTTTTATCCAATCTATTGGTCATATCATAAAGTCATGTAATTTCTTTTTTTTTAATTCTGATCATTTTTATTCTATCTGAGTAAGAGATTGAGAAATGCAGAAGTTACTAGCAGAGTCGATGGCATTAGAGCCAAGCCAGTGTGATGAGCATTAAAGTCACCAATAACAGCAATATTAGCAGGGGTTAAAGAAAAAAGGCATTGTCAATTTGATCAGAAATTATATCTAAAAGAGTGCAGTCTTGGGAAGAAGGAAAACGATAAAGAACAAAGAGAAATGGGGTAGTGAAGAGATGCTAAGCGGAAGCACATAAAAGAAAGGTCAAAGGATTCAAACTTGATTTTACAACAGATAGCATATGTAAACCCCCAAGCCAAGCATGTGACTATTGCAGTCTTTGGGAATCAAAGAATAGGGACAAAAAGTATTGGGTTACATGATACCAGTAGCAGGGTGATTGTGATATATAGATCCTGACCTGACCTGGAGTACTTAAATTACATGGAGTTACTTCCTGTACACAGTACTTTAAAACATTGAGTAAGATAATTTGGAAATGCAAAAAGAAAAACATTAAGGAAGATAATTTGGAAATGTAAAAGGAAAAACATTAAGCAAGATAATTTGGAAATGTAAAAGGAACAACATTACATCAACAAAATATTAGAGATTAATGTAAGCGTAGGTTTTATAGTCCAGTCACTAGTTAATTACTGAGATCACACTGCATCAGAAATTAAACTAGATCACAAACATACATATAAAATGAATTATAGGTAAGTTAACGCAGTAACAAAAGGAAACCTCCAACTATATAAAAGACGCACACAACAAAAAAAAAAAAAAAAAAAAGATTAATAAAAATTTTTACTATGGGCATGGCAGGTATGAAATGATGATAGGAAGGCTTCTTCCTGACTCACAGTGAGCTGAAAAGTTGTTTTCATAAATATTCGGAAAGGTTTTTATGTGTAAATTTTTGAAAACTAAAAAATAATTTTGTTGCAGGATATTTAGGTCATAATTTAAAAGAACAAAATAATGAAAATTTTATAAAATTTGCTTTTTTATAGGTTATAACAAAAATATGTGCAAATGTTTATAAGATGCATATATATTTTGTAATACAAAGATAACATAGGTACATCAATAGCAAAAACAATAAAAATTATCAAAAGAAGTACTTAAGTACATAATTTATTTACATTTTAAAATATGTGTCATCTTCAGATAAAATGTTGTTAGAGACATTTTTTTTATGAGAATATTTATCAGAATGTCCTCATTCATTCCAAAATTTGCAGAATAGTTTTGACTTTTATCTCTTGTCAAAAAAAATTTGATCAGATGGTATCCACATTCAGTTAATGGTGTCTGTTAAATTGACAATTGAGGAGTTTTTTCTTGAGAGTCTACTATGTATCAATCTTAGTATTTTGTTATTATCATTTAACCCTGAATCATAAAGATTTCCCAAACCATTCTCCTCATTATTCAAAACTAGCTCCCAAGAATGACCAATCAGTTTGTGAAGTGATGGTGTTATATTGATCCATGGTCCAGCTAAATTTATTTTTTTAACAGGTGGAAACTTGTTAAATAAGAATAAATAAAAATTTGTAAAATAGCTTTTATATTGATCCACGTAAATTTTTTGTATTGGTCTCATTTTTTGGCGCTTGCAGTAATTCTTTGAGTATTTTTTGAGAAAAATACTCAAAAAATTACTGAGAGCACCAATTCTAACTTTTAAAATGTTGCATGATATTAAACAAAAAGTTATGCAATAATTAAATCCTTGTTTGATATGCAATAATTGAGTTCTAGTTTTATGCAATAGTTTTCTAGCTATATAACCTGTTGTTGTTGTTCCTCTTTTTTCAATTATATCCTTTTTATATGTTTTTTTTTTTGTAATATCTCTATTTGTAATGAAGTCTTAAGTAATTTCTGCTTGCTTCAGAAATCTATTTGAAGCACTGAAAGGGGATTCAGACCAACCAAAAACATCCGCTTTCAAATGTATAACAGTTTTCATGATATGGTCAAATGTACCCAGTAAAGCATAAAGAACTATAAAAATATATGTTTCTGTTTCAAGTGAAAATCACCAAAACATTGTCAATATGATATTGTTAGTGTTAACATTATCTTTTTAATTAAATATTGCATGGCTTCCACTACCATCAAATCCAAACTTTATTTTCATTAGTATATTTTCAATGTTTATATCTAAAAAAAATGTTCTCCAATATCCTTTGCATTGTCAGTTTAATAGCCTGAAATAGACTGAAGTAAACACCAGAATAAAGTTTACATAATTCATAGTAATTGGTGTTACTTCAAATTGTTTTCTTATGAAATATTTCCAACTAGGCAATATATTAAAATTAGCAGACTGTTTAAATTGACATTGTTTCTATTGGAAACTTATTGAAAGAGTTATTCTTTAACATGCTCTTTAAGCAAGGTTTCTTTACCAGCCTTAAATTGTATGCCAGCATAGCCTATTTTTTCAAGTTTGTTTTTCTTCAGATGCAGATCTTTACCAGCTATTCTGAACTAATGTTTTTTGTGGAAATGTCAATTCTTAGGAGCCAAGTGCCTTTGCAATTATTAATATGCAACCTGTTATATTTGCAGAATTAGTTTTTAACCGTTTAATTTCCTCAGTAATAAAAACTTCAAATAAGTCAAATTCAGTGAGCTTCATTGTTATTAAACTACAGATATAAATATTTTTGTTGATTCATTATCTAATAACTTTTTAAATAAAATGATTTAAACTTAAAATGATATAATTCAAAATATAAACAAGCTTACCTGATAAGTAAAAATATTATATTATTACTATATACACCACAAAGCCATCAGTTTCATATTTAAATATTGCTATTCGTTCATTTTAAAACAGATTTCAATGCTGCAATATTTTTTTTATTAATGGTTGTACTAACTAGATTAAATTTGGTCCAAAAAAGTTCAATCAAAAAGAGGGCTAGGGGGGGGTTAAAGGTGTTGGTCAAAAATTGATCTTAATCCATTTTCTAATTTCTAGACACTTTTACTGAACACATCTTTCCCTTATAAGAATATGTACAAAATAATGCAAAGCTATTTATACTAAAGGGGTATGGTCATTCTTTTACTTATTTTGTTTAAAAGTGCTAAGTTGGCACAATTAGTTAAAAAGCATCTCATTTATCTTTGTTATAGGAGTTTAAAAATATATGGGTTTACTGGTTTTAACTTTAGATGAAAAAAATTTCCTTGTGTTTTGAAAAGCAAAATTAATGTTAATTAACTTTTATTATTATTAATTGTGACAAAATAAATTGTTAATGTTCTTAAAAAAAAATTTTTTTTCAACATAGGAGGATATTTTACAAAACTCGCAAATAAGAAGGCTTTATTTAGTACTTGAAATTTATAAAAATTTTATTTTATCACAAATAAGAAGACTTTATTTAGTACTTTTATTTATAATTTAGTACAAACATTTTGTACTTTTTTTGTAGTTTTGGAAAAACACCTTATATTACACATTAAGTCGAAAACAAAAAAAAATCCTTCTCATTTACTTGGTAATTCTTTATCTAAAAATGATTTTTTTTAATTTTTATGATGACACTTTACCTTTACTGCTTAAAAACTAATTTTTGAAGACTTGGTACCATTTTGCATGGTGTGCCTCATACGTTATATTAAAATATATTAATTTTTTTATTTTATTAAACTTATTGAAAATGTTTTTACTATTAACAGCGTTTTCAAGAATATTAGTAAGCTATAATTTTTTCTTAGTAATATTAAAAGTAACATTCCTGCTAATTCTTTTTATTAATAATAAAATAAATTTATCACATGTTTTCAAATGTTATCACGTTTAAATAAATTTGTAGTAGATATGTATTTTTAAATAATAATGCTTATTTGTTATTTTTGTTACTAGATGTTGTTTCCATTATTTACACAGCTGGATTGTCCTCTTCATGGTCAATCAGATCCAGAACCAAAAATTTGGTATTTTTTAGTTTACATTTTTGTTTAATATTTATTTTACTTGTTCTACTCATAAATGTTCAATTCTCATATATTCCTTATTTTGTTCTATTCATAAATGTTTGATTCTTGTATATTGCTTATTTTTTTCTATTCATAAATGTTTGATTCTTGTATATTGCTTATTTTGTTCTATTCATAAATGTTTGATTCTTGTATATTGCTTATTTTGTTCTATTCATAAATGTTTGATTCTTGTATATTGCTTATTTTGTTCTATTCATAAATGTTTGATTCTTGTATATTGCTTATTTTGTTCTATTCATAAATGTTTGATTCTTGTATATTGCTTATTTTGTTCTATTCATAAATGTTTGATTCTTGTATATTGCTTATTTTGTTCTATTCATAAATGTTTGATTCTTGTATATTGCTAATTTTGTTCTATTCATAAATGTTTGATTCTTGTATATTGCTTATTTTGTTTTACTCATAAATGTTCGATTCTTGTATATTTTTTCTATAAGTTCTTAATCTTAACAAGTATTCAGGCTTCAACAAATCAAAGAATGTGCTCAAAAGAAACTTTTGAGCACATTCTTTGATTTGAAACTTAAAGATTGTTTGTTGAAAAAATGACAGAAAACATTCATTGAGTTTCATCACTTTTCTTTAAAATTTTGGCATTAGCTTTAAATTTAAAATTTTGGTATTTGCTTCAAATTAAAAATTGTTAAGTTTGTTATTACTATATATTAAAAGAAAGATTGAAAAAATGCGAAAAGAAACTTAAAACAATTACTAGCTTCATGAAAGTGTGTGCAATAATTTTCTTTAAAAATGAGTTTTTTAGAAGCATATGAAATATTTTTTTAAACTCATAAAGTCAATCTTATCAATGGTAAATTAAAGTATTTTAATATTCAGTGTTGTTCTTGAGAGAATGGATGTGCAATTTATTAGATGAATGGATGTGCAATTTGATGTCTTATATGTGTAAATTATTTTTATTCATTATACTTCAAGGCGTTAATTATTTACGCTGATGTGCTCAATATTTCTTATTAAAGCCTTTTTCAATAGACATTAAAACAAATGTCAAAAAAACGTTTTAACGTTTGTCAAAAAAAAAGTTGTTTTATTATAAAAGATTTTTTGATGTTTTCTTTACTTTTTAACTGCAATATTTGACTGTTTTTGACCTCCCCCACCCCTTCCCCTCCCTCGTCACAAAATCATAACACTTAAATAGCAAGTTTTTATATGAGTTGTCACAAAACCATCAGCCCCCTCCCTTCTTATAGCATGACGCAATTTATGAATGACGCTTTAGTAATCATATTTTTTCTTTTATAATTTATAACACATTTCAGATAATTATTTTAAATATATGAAAATTTTATATTTTTGAATTGTTGCAGTTCATTGCTCTTTGGGTTGATATACGACCTTTTAAGAGGTTGTTCAGTCTTTCAACAGCAGTTATTGCAAAGTCAAGGTTTTATGATTATTGGTCATTTGTTACAGAAATCATCTCCTGTCCATTTAACTGAAGCCACAGTGGACATCTTACTGGGATTAGCTAGGTTAGTTCTATTTTTTTATTTAAAGATTTTATTTTTATATATTTTAATTATTATATGCATAAATTTTAAATAGTATAAGATTTTTGAACTATATTAAGTTGTAAAATTTGTAAAAATTGACTTTTAAATAAACATAAGAGCCTAATAACTAATAATGATAATAGTATAATAATGATGTAAATATGTTTTTTGATTAACAACTTGTTAATCAAAAAACATGTTTTTAATTCATTAAGCTTTTGATTCTAATTCAAAATTTTAAAATAAACTTGAGTTATATTAGATTGTATAATTTATGTTTCAAATTCAAAATAAAGGAGCATAAAAGATTATATTATTTTGGAATATATGTGTGAACAGGGGGTATATGTATAGACACAACATTTTGATTAACAAAAATTTATCATAGGTTCTTTATGGCAACTCCGAGTGCTAATAGTTTATTAGGTGGTTTGCTTGATCATGTCTTACTGGAACCTGCTCTTTGGATTAAAACTCCTTTAAGTTTGCAGTCAAATCTACTGAGTTTATTTGCCACAGGTTATGTTGGTGGACTTGATTATGCTGGTTATATAAGAAAAGAAGTTGGTGTACCAAGACTAGTTATAATGCTACGAAAGTATTACTCTATCAGAGCTAGAGATTCTGCCATTGAAAGTAATATTTTGAAAATTTGTTAAGTTTAGTAGTTTGTTTGTTTTTTTGTTTTAGTCGATAGGTCACTTTTTTAAAATATTTTCAAGAATATTTTTTTTAAACATCAGTTTTATAAGTTTTTATACAAAATCTTCTTTCTCTTTTAAAATATTTTTTTGATTCGATGTTAATAAATTTTTTTGTAGCATTATGTTCTGTAAAGAACATTTTAAGTTTTCCTGTATCCAAATTAAATATTTTTAAGTGTTAAATTTAAATGCAGTTGGTGTGTTACTAAGTTTTATGATTAAACTTACAGATTTATATTTTTAAATGGTTTACTAAGGCCTAATACAATACTTTTTTTATTTGAATATTTTCTATAGTTGTTACAAGTTTTAAGTTTTTTTTTTTTGTTTTTTTTTTAATTTGTAGTAGTTTTTTAATGAACGGTAAAAGTAAATTTACAGTTTTTTTTAGATAAAGCCACAGTTGAAGAAGTTATATCTCTGAGAGCATTTGTTTTGCTTCTGGTTAAGCAGATGATAATAAAAGTAAAATGATTTTTTAAATCATTAGCATTATTTTATGTTTTTATTTTGTTTATTATTATTTACACATATATAATAATAAACAAAATAAAAAAAATATATATATATTAGGGTGGTCCATAAAACAACTTTTTTGAGAAAAACCTGCTGACACCCCCTAAATGTGTTTTATCTAATGCAAAAACACTAGGTTTAAAATTTTTTTGAACAAAAATTATTTTTAGGGGTAGCTCAAGGCCCTCAAAAATTTGACGGGTCCCTAATATTTTGAAAAAAAAACTTTTTCTAAAGTATGTCAAGCTGGTACTCAAAAGAAGCGATATTGTATAAAAACTTCAAAAATAATAATCATTTTACATAAAAAACATGCCTAAAAAAAATTATTCTCAAAAAACCTGAAAATATTGACTTTTTTTATTTTCAGCTTAAAAACAATAGTTTTTATGCATTTATACCTAAAAAAATTATTTTTATAAAAAATTATTATCATTTTTAAATTTTTTATATAATTTTGCTTATTTTGAGTACCAGGTTGACATACTTTAGAAAAAGTTTTTTTTTCAAAATATTAGGGACCCGTCAAATTTTTGAGGGCCTTGAGCTACCCCTAAAAATAATTTTTGTTCAAAAAAATTTTAAACCTAGTGTTTTTGCATTAGATAAAACACATTTAGGGGGTGTCAGCAGGTTTTTCTCAAAAAAGTTGTTTTATGGACCACCCTAATATATATATATATACATATATATATATATATATATATATATATATATATATATATATATATATATATATATATATATATATATATATATATATATATATATATATATATATATATATATATATATATATATTTAAATATTTTTGTGATTTTAAATTTACATTATTTTTTATTTTTTTATTTTTTTAATAGAATCAAGGTATTTCAGAAGATGAACTTAAGAGCATTTTAGTATATTTAGCAGTGGAGAATGAGGTATGTAGGCAATGTTCCATTAAGCAATATTAAAACACATTTATGCGCACACTTTTTCACGCACTTTCCATCAATGTTGTTTATACTTCTACTAAGTTTTCATTTTTAATGTATAGGAAGAAAATTTTGTGGATATTGTACAATTGCTTTTATCTGTGATATGCGAAACTCCAACAGCTATTGTACCTAAGTTTGATGAAATAGATGGCTTCCAGTAAAAAAACATTTGTTTTTTTTTAGTTCAATAATGAGTGTTTTTAAAATTAGAATTTTATTAAGTGTGTTTCAAATAATTGATTTAAGTTTTCTTTTGAAAATTTTTTTTGTTATCTATAAATTGCTTTTAAATAAGTTTAAAGTTATTCATTGTTTTTGCAAATAGTTTGACAAGATACAAATTCAAGTTTTATTTTTTTAAAGAGTGTTTTTCAAACTTCTCGTTGCACAAAACAGTCAAGTTCGTATTTGCAGCATAAAGATTTTGGGAGCATATATGCAACATCTCAAGATTCAGTAAGATTTTTTTTAATGTTTTTGATTTTATTAAGACTCTTTGTAACTCCAAAGCCACAAGTTTTACACTCTAATATAATACTTACTTTTATGACTCTTAAAGATCTAAATATTGATGTCCATTAAGTGTTTGTCTGGTCAATGAAAGTCTTTAAACTTCATTGGTCAGAATAAAAAATTTGATAACAAAAGTATTTTAAACATTGTCATTATTTCTCATAAAATTACTCAAAGCTAAAACTATTGCATTAAAGACTCTTCAATTAATTGTCATGATGAAAAATGAAAAGATTTTGTTGATCCACTTTAGGTAACTTTTGTTTATATTATGCATATTATATCTTTATCCAAAACATATATTATTAGAAAACTATATTTCCTAAATCTACCTTTATTGTGTGTATATTTTTTTATCAATTGATGTCTTCTGAAGTTTTTTAAATGGATTTTTTTATTTTAACTTCTATTTTGTTTACAATTATTTATTTATTAAATCTTTTATTATTTATTAAATCTTTATGCTAGTTTTTGTCTTTATATTTTCTTAAGTCTTTATATTTTATGGTCTTAAGTCTTTTTGCGTCTTTATATTTTATGGTCTTAAGTCTTTTTGCGTCTTTATATTTTATGGTCTTAAGTCTTTTTGCGTCTTTTTATTTTATTGTCGTGAGTCTTTTTGCGTCTTTTTATTTTATGGTCTTAAGTCTTTTTGCGTCTTTATATTTTATGGACACAACATTTATGTTTTATTTAATATTAATTAATAATAATTCTATTTAAGTTTTATTCAATATTAATTAATAACAATTCTATAAACAATTCAATAAAAATTCTGTTTAAGTTTTTAGACCAGTTAGCTTTACCAATTAACTTTAGTTAGTGAATATTTATTTCCTGAAATTAGAACCCCGACCTAGATTCAGAGTTTTAGAACCCCAAGGTTCTAGAACCCCAAGGATAATGGTTTTGGAATCTATATCCTTTGGGTTCTAAAAATCCTGTAAAAAAGGGTTTGCAACCCTAAGAGGTTCCAGAGCACCCCTTATTCAGGTTTCTGAATCCCAATTATTACCAGGAGTTCCATAAACCCTTTTTCACCCAAAGTGGCTTAAAGTTTGTTTGTTTTTTTTTAACATCTTTACTTCTGACAAGGTTGCAAGCAACCACTAATTCGAGTTGGAAGAGAAAAGATGAAGATTGTACTGCAAAATAACGATTGACAGATGACTTAAAAGATTGCAAATTATATGCATCAGGAAAATAAGATAAAGGAAGCAAATTCCAAAGAATTGATGTTTGAGGAAAAAAACTAGAGGATTAAAATTTTTTGGAGCACTTAGGAACAGTCACAGAAAAAGGATGAGACTTAATTGAATGATGAGTAAAATGAGAATGAATTTTAGTAGATGGCACAAGAGACGCTAGCTCTTTAGAGCAGTGCCCATTATAGTATTTGTAGAAAAGAGAAAGAAGCAACACTACAATGATGTGATAATGGTTGGAGGTTGGCTGCAACACCAATTTCAACTATGTTTACAATGCGTTTTCGCACCTTGTCTAAAAGAGAAAAGGCATCATTAGAAGATTTGCCCCATATATCGCAACAGTATTCCATACAAGGCCAGATTTGAGATTTATAGAGATAGAGAATAGAATCTAGAGTAAGAAAGTGTCGAGCTCGATAAAGAGAAGCAACCTTAACAGATGTTAATTTTGCAACGGATTTGATATATGGTTTCCAAAAAAGATTGGAAGTAAGAGTTAATCCTAGAAGATGAAAGGTAGATGACTCATCGAGAACATTACCATTCATAAGTATAGGAAGGTCTAAATTATTGCAATAACGATTGGCTGAAAAAAATTTAGTTTTATCTGAATTAAAGTTCACCAGCCACTGTGAGCTCCATGTTGTAGCAGAAGTGAGATCCTTTTCAAGCTCAAATACCCCCTCTAAGCTCTTAGAGAGTGTTGGCTTCTTATCATGACAAGAATAAATGGTAGTATCATCAGCGAACAATGCCACCTTAGATGTGACAATATCTGGAAAATTGGTAATGTAAATTAAAAAGATTATAGGGCCAAGGATTGAACCTTGAAGAACCCCTGAAGTTACAGAATATGAAGAAGAGTACTGTCCATTGAGGATAACTTTTATACTATGATTGGAAAGGAAGGATTCAATAATCTTAAAGATGTTACCAGATACACCGTAAGAAGAGAGCTTAAGGAGAAGTCCAGCATGCCAAACTTTATCAAAAACTTTAGAAGTGTCAAGAGCAATGGCCTTAACCTCTCCACCTCTATCTAAAGCACAATAAAACCTATCAGTTTTTTTTGTTAACAAATCAGCTGTAAAAAAAGAAGATCGAAATCAGAAAAAATTAGATTCAAGTTGAGAGATTAAGTGTTTGTTAATTAAAGATTCAAAAACCTTGCTTATGATAGGAAGAAGACTAATGGGACGGTAGTTAGATGAATCAGATCGGTCTCCAGAGTTTTTGAAAATAGAGATAACAGATGCTGCTTTCCAGTTGGCTGACAAAAAAAGACTCTGATAAGTACTTGTTGAATAGTAGAATAGCAGGAAATCACTTTAGAAGTAGAGAAGGTAAATGATTCAGGTTGTCTGGAAAGCGAGTTGAAAAGTTGACAATTTGAGTTAGGGATTGAGAAAGGCAAAAGTTGTGGGCTTTAACCCTTGCAGAGTCATTGACACTAGAGCCAAGCCATTCAGTGTGATGAGCATTAAAGTCACCAACAACAACGATATTGGCTGATGGATAAAGAGAGGGCTTGGCCAATTTGATCAGAAATAACATGAAAAAGAGTGCAATCTTGAGATGAAGGAGAGCAATATAGAACAAATAGAAAGGCAATAGAGTGAAGTGATGCTAAAGGAAAGCACATAAAAGAATAGTCTGTGGATTCAAACCTAGTTTCCTGACAAATGGGTGAATTCTTATGAATGTAAATGCCCAGGCCAAGCATGTGACAGTTGGAGTCTTTACGAATTAAAGGAAGATAACCATCAACACTAAGATCACCAGATGAGACAGCTAAACTCAAATTAGTCTCACAGAGAACAAGTAGGTCTGGTGAACATTGCAAGAGATAAGACTCAACAGAAGAAAAGTTATTTTGACCACGAATATTAGTGAAGGATAGGTTTAGAGAAATTGGTAATGATGATGGTTTTTTGTGTTTTATAGTTTTTAGTACTGTATTCATTTTTAAATTTGTTAAAGAACTTTACTCAAAGCATAGATAATATTCAGTACACTGATTAATAGCCCAAGCCATTGTCTCATTACTTTTAATAAACCTTAAGCTGTAACAAAGGGCTTCAAATGTGGCCTTGACAATGCACACCAAAAGTACACACAGGGATACTATTCATACGCAACATGGCACTGTTAATACTTTGATATTTTTCAGCTGTTGATGAAATCAGCCTCTCTGAGAGCTACCACAGAGTTCGGGAAACCTGTCTACCAGTCGGCCTCAGAACCATAAATTATAGTATATTTATAGGTATTTATGTTGTTGAAATGTTTTGTTTTATAATAAAATAACTTTTTATATTATATTGTATTAAATATACTTTTAATACAGTTAATAAAACAAAATGTAAGCTTTTTTAGCAGTTCATAAATATCATGAGTTCGAATATCATGTTTCGCAGACGCTTTTCAATAATAAAAAAAAAACAATTCATAAAATATTTTAAACATTTTACTTTCCATTCATTGTTTGGAAGCGTTTGCGGAACATGATATGTTACATAGTGTGATAGCAGGGAGAAAGAATAATTTTATAATTGTCTTGAATGACAAATTTTAAAAACAAATATATTTCCAAGTTAAAAAATAAACTAAAGTATGTTTTATTTTTTAATACAGGACCCCATTTTTAAATGAGGGTTTGGACCCCCTGGGTTTCTGGAACACTGAAAAAGTGGGGTTCTAATAAAGTCTTTGAGAAAAAAAAAGATTTTAGAAAGCAAATTGGGGTTCTGAGAATACGGTTTCAGAACCCTTATGTATATAAGTGTTCTGAAACCTTATATACATAATAAGAAAAGAAGTATTTGCATTTGTATCTAAAATATTTTGGGAAAAGTTTTAATATTGAAAATTGGTTTGTCATCACATAAATGATTATTTATTCTTTGTTTTTGTTTTTATAGGCGCAAACTAGAGTTGGTAGAAAAACACTCTTTCATTAGCATGATTGGGCAAAAGTTGTCAATATTTGAAATGTCTATGGCAATGTATAATGCATTGTTTGAAGTAAATTTTTAAAATACTAGTATTTATACATATTATTAATTCTGTTTAAAAACTTTTTAATTTTAACATTTAAATTGAGTAAAAAGTTGTAATATGTTGTAAACTTAAACGTTTTGCTAAAGTATAGATTTTTGTAGTGAATATTTGAAAAGTTAATATCAAAGATATATTTTAAGGAGAACTTTAAGTTGTTATTTTGATGAAAATTTGGCTATGTTAGCAAACATCATAATTTTTTAAACAAAATTATTGATGTTATTATTCAACAATTTTTAATCAACCATAACAAAGTTTTGCTGTCTCTAAGCTACTTAACTTTGTTGTCAAAAAATTATTTTGTCTGAATTACATAATGCTCCTATATCAAAATTTTTTCTCTTTGCAACTGTTTATTACAATAAAAAATTATTATGTTAAATATAATTAAATTATTTTAGAATGTGGAATGCGTATTTATATCACTGTATTTAACTTTTTTTCCCCTTATTTATATTATATGTAGTTATTTCATTGTTGTAAATTGGTAGTTATTGTTATATATGGTGGCCCGTCATTGCCATAAGAAAAAATATGGTGGCCCATCGTTGCCATTGCCATATGGCTTTACTTGTTTACAAATGCCGTGGATAATAATAATAAAAATAAACATAAAAATGGCGACTAATATATGAAAACAATGTAGAATGTAAAGGTTGGAATGCTACGTACAACCAAATCTTTCAAGAAAAAAAATTTTAGACTTCATAAAAGTTAACTCTCCACAATGTGCATGGAGTAAAAGATCTCTTTATATCTTCAACCTTTAAAATATATACCATTAATAAAAATGCAACAGTTGAAGATGTTCAAAATGCTGTCAAAATAGAATTACAAGGCCCTAGTGCACTGCTGGGATATTGTGCTATGTATTAAAAATTAGGAAGGTTTCACAATTAATGTGTACCAAGGGCTGTTGTTCATGCAGCTATGTTTGCAGAAGATCAAGCAGCACTTAAAAACTTAACTTTGCTTTAAACAGAAGAAAGCTAAGGACAACTATGTGTCAGAAGGTCCAAATTGGGTACATTCTCCTAATGGTCCCCCCCCCCCCCAAAAAAAAAAAAAAAAAAAAAAAAGGTCTATCAAAATAGTACCTTTCTGATTGCAGTATTTGGCAGTATAGATACTTGAAACAAGTAATGTGGATAAAAGTGAGAAATAATAGTACTCCAAAGCTTATTGCCAGATTCTGTCTGAAATATTAATTAAAAAATAATTTTGTTTCTAAGTATATTAGAGTAGAAAAAGGTACAGAAACTAATTTTGCCTATTTTCACCAAAATATTATGAATGATCCAACAGATAGCATCAATTATGGCGCTTCAACCTCAAACCTTTATTCAAACCAAACTTTAGCCAAGTTTTACAATATTAGAGATTAAAATATAATATTAAACTAAAAAAATATATTATTTTTTTTTGTATTACATTTTAGATTGAATGATGGTCGAAGGAGTTTCATGAATTTCTGGAAAAATATTACAAGATTCATTTAAAATGTTTAAAAGACCAAGGTCATTATGAATCATGATGACCTTGAACTAACTATGACAAATAACTATGAATATTATTTGTATGATCATAATACGATCCTACAAATAATATTGATAATTATTTTTTTGTTTACTGAGGGGTTTTTTTGTATTGTAACTAGTACTTTTCATTTAAGAAACATTATAGTTTCTAATTAAATAGTTTCATTATTAAAATAAATAATGTAATTAATTTCACTCATAAAACTTATAACTAGTTCTAAATTATAACTAGTTGTTATTTAAATAATACAAAGACTAGTCCTTTAATTTTTTATTTTAAATAACAATAAATAGAAAATTGTATTCAAGAAATATGCTTAGTATGTTTTGAAAATGTTTTATTATTTAATAGGTATGTTTTTTATATTATAGGTTTCTGCCAAAAAAAGTTATAGCTGAAAATGCAATTTTGTTGATTGTTTATGCATTTTTGCTTTTGCTTGTCATTTGAGGGACTTATTACCTGTATAAAGAATAAGATACCTTTAATCAAAAGATTTTAATTGACATATTAAATTATAATAATTGACATGTTATATATTAAATTATATATTGAATGTAACATAATTTACATAACACATTATATGCTATACTAAATAGCGTCAACTCTTGATTTCTTGATAAGGTTATTGGTTCAACTCTAAATTATCTAAATAATAAACAAAATTTATCTCAAAATTTATTTCCACTTTATTTGGTTTGTTACAAAAGTTTTTTTCCTCCTTGCTAAAAAAACTTTATGAGAAATAGTATTATTAATAATGCAGTTAGTTAATCTTTTATCAAATATACTATCGAAAGATATAATCTCTATACATTTGAACTTTCTGATATATAGCTGTCCTTGACTTGCTTCTTTTTAAAGCAAGGTTTTCTGTTTTAAAGTTAAATCTTCTATGAGTATAGCTGCATGAACAACAGCTCTTGGTACATGTAAATTGTGAAACTGTCCTAATTTTTTATGTATAGCACGATATCTAAGCGATGTAGTAGGGCTTTGTAATTCTATTTTGACAGCATTTTGAAAATCTCCAACTGTTGAATTTTTATCAATGGAATTTTTGAATGTCAAAGATGTCCATCAAGAATTCTTTTATTCCATGCATATTATGGAAAGTTAACTTTCATAAAGTCTAAAATTTCTTTTAAGGTTTTGTTTTATTTAGCACTCTAAGTTTTCCATTACACGTATGTTTTTTAACCAAGCGTTGTTTTTGTATATTAGTCGCCTTTTTTTCTTTTTTCACAGCATTTGTAAACAAGTAAACGTGTACAACAATGGCAACAATGGACAACAAATTTTGTAGGAAATTTTTTTTTCTAATGGCAACGATGGACCACCATAGTCATGTTTAAGTTCTTAACAAATATTTTACTAGATTTTGTATTAAAGAATAATTAAATTTTTTTGAATCTGAACTTTGTTTATTTTACTTTTAATAACCTGTTACGTACTTTAGTTTTTGATTGCTCAAACAACCAAGATTATTTCAGAAAAAAGGCATCCACCTCCAGATTCTTCTTCTTTGATGTATCATCCTTGTATGTAATTTGCTTTTTGAAAATTTTTGTATGCGTAAAATTTTAAATTTTTTAAAATTTGATTTTTTATATGGAATTTCATTTTGATTTTTTTTTTTTAATAAAACTTAATATAACGTTGAAAATTGAGTTTGAAAAATAACTAAAAAATGTAAATGCTGCTTTAAATTTTTTTTGTACTTTTCAAATACCATAACTTAAAGTTACATTTTTTATATTTTTATGTAATAGGTTAAATTTTTTATTGTTTTATAAAATATAAAAAAAGGAAAAAAAAATTTAATTTGATTTTTAAACAATTGGGTTTCTGCCATATTTCACTTAATTTTTGCATAAATTTCGCTTAATTTTCACATAAATTTCACTTAATTTTTGCATAAATTTCGCTTAATTTTTGCATAAATTTCACTGGTGAGATGCTGCTAAATAGTTAACTACATAAGTTTGCAAAAATCTTAAATTTTTTAATCTTATTATTTTTTAATTTATTTTTCATTTTAAAGTTTATCTTGCTAATTTTTAAGAACAAATTTAAATAAATAACTCATAACATAAGAATTTGTAATTTAAAAAGTTATTCCTCAAGCAGGTTTTTCACATAAAAGCATTTTGTTTCTATGTCCTTAATTATTTATTTGCTAAAAAATTTGTTTAGCAATTTTGCCAGTCATTTCAAGTTTGCTGTTAAAAGACCGCTTTGAAGCAATAGCTACAGAAAATAAGATTTTAGCAAAGAGTACTAACGAACTAACACTAGTTTTTCTCTCTGATCTTCTTATTCTACTGAATACAAACAATGATAACAAAAGGTTTGTATTAACAAAAATTATTTTACGATATTTCTTGATTAGCTTATTTGCATAAAAGCATTTTGTAAACTTAAAGTTTGCTTATCATATATATTTTTTGTTTTATGGATTTATGTTTCAATTTTCGAAAATTAAAGTATTGTGCGCAGTGGAACTAAAATAATAAATAATACTAAAAGTTTGACAAATAGTTGACAAATATAACATTAGATAAATAATTGCAGACATTAAATAATAGTTGTTTTTTTTCAACAGACTATTATTGCAATTGATGTGTTGGCAAGAATGGCTTTTCTCGTTAGCCTACTTAAGTCCTAGCAATAAAGGTTTTTAAGTTTTGTTGTTTATAAACTTTGGTTTTGTATATCATATTTATTTTTGTATTTCAGTGCATTCTTAAATAATAAATTAAATTAAAAATGAATTATAAAGTAAATTGTTAGTAAAACCTATGATTTTTTTTATTTATTTGAAAATATATGAAACATAAATATGGTTTTAGATGAAAGTAAAGTAACAGATAATGTATTTTCTATTATAAAAATGCTATTACATTACGCCATACAAAATGAAAAAGAAGGCTGGAGAGTATGGGTTGACACTCTTTCTATATTACACAGTAAGGTGAGCTATTTGAAATGAAGTTTTAAACATTAATACATACATACATACATACATACATACATACATACATACATACATACATACATACATACATACACACATACATACATACATACATACATACATACATATATACATACATACGTTGTATTACTGGTCCGTAAAGTCTTTTTAAACATAAAAGAGTATTTTAAAAAACTTTTCAAAATAAAACTAGAATTAGTTTTAAAAAATTTTGTGTGTGTATATATATATATATATGTATATATATATATATATATATATATATATATATATATATATATATATATATTATATATATATATATATATATATATATTCCACATTTAAGGTAGCTTCAAAATTTTCATTTTTGGTTCCTTTGAAGCGGGGAATAAAGATGGCAGTAGTTATCTAAAATTGTATTAATATATAAATATATAATATATTCGACAATGTTTTTTTTTTTTTTGAAATACTGGTAAATCCATAAAAGTCAGATACCATTAAAAAGCAGTTAGATAAACTCGACAGACAAAAGTGAACAGATAGAAAAACAGTACAGATGGTAAAATGTATGAATAAAATATCCAACAGCAGATATCCAAACTTAAACACCACCAATCATCTCTCAGACAAACTTAAACACCACCAATCATCTCTCAGACAAACTTAAACACCACCAATCATCTCTCAGACATATTCTCCAAATTGGTCAAAACAAAATGATGTATCTTCAACTGAAGGATCTCTACTGACATAGCCAGTAATGTAAACCAAAAGCATTTTAATTTTTTCAGACAAATTGCTTTTTATAACTGGAAGATTATGAAACACATTGTCTAAATTATTATCTTGCATTACATAATTATATTTTTCACACAAATGGCTTGATGAAATTTCTAAATTATTAGCTTTGATACAAATATTCAAACAAAGTTTTGTTTTTTTAATGTCAACTTTTTGTAATATTTGCTGAACATTTATAAAATAGGTACCACCTGATCCTTATTCAAGTTTTCCAAATGCTTTCTTAATAGGGTTAGTAGTAAAATGTCCAAGGCAGACATACTTATGACTTGTAATTAGTAAATGTTTTAGTTGTTCAACCATTTCACAGCACATATAAGAAAAAGCAAAAGAAGTATTTCTTGTTTTTCAGTTGCCTTTTTTTTGAACATATCAGTCAAATTTTAAAGAAAGTTTAATCGTTTATCATAGTTTGGTAAACAACCGGAACAATTTTTATCTCTAGTCTAAATATCTTCATAAAGTCCTTTAACATTAATAATTTTTAAAAAAATTTGATAAAATAGGTTTAAAAAACTGTAATAGGTTTAAAAAACATCAACATTTTTTTATGGATGAATGAGTTTTTAAAGCAGCTACAGTCTCATCGCATTGTGACACATTTTGATGTTCAATTGGTTTAGAAAAAATTGCAGTTTCATTAAGTTAAGAGAATTTTACAAAAAAAGAAAAATCTTTTTCAAGTTCAAAAAGATTTTTAAGATCTGATTTTGCAGTTCTTGAAAGTAAAAGTTTTTACCTTTGAAAGTAAAAAAATAGTTTTTACCTTTTCAAGTAAAAACATAGTTTTTACCTTTGCAAGTAAAAACATAGTTCCTAGCATTTTTCTGTGATCCAATTGTTGCAAATAGATTTTATTAAATGAACAAAAAATATTTAAACCTGTTTCTACCAAAACTGTTTTCCACCAAACACAGAACAAATCATTAAACCCAAAACTGCTTTTGTTAATTCATTTAGGAAATTTACAAACTTACCAAAAATGTTACTTTTTTGATAGTTAAACTGTGGTTTAACATAAATTTGCATAAATTAGTAGAATAACTTTGAGAAATAGAACTTTGAAAAATAGAGCATTTGTCAAAATAAAGTGTTTAGTACACTTAACACCACAGTGTTAAGTGCTCCATAAAATGATGCACTTATCACTGTGGATAAATCATTTTTTATTTTAAAAATAACCTCTGGAACACTCAAGTTGTCAAATATTCAGCAGATTGAAGATGTAAACAGTTTTCATAGATGTTTGATATTATTGAAAAGAAAAAAAAAATAGTTTAAACAATATTTTGCTACACAAATCTTCGAAGGATGAAATATTGTTCGCTTTGACGAATGCCCAATTTCATCAGGCATAGTACTTCTTAAAGATGGCAATTATTTATTAGTTGTTGTTTGTGGTGTGTATGTAGTCGTAATTCAACTTGTAGTGTCTATGTAGTCAGAATTCAACTTGGATTAGTCTTTGATCTTCGTAAATAAAAGTATTTGAGTTTAAAATTGAACTATCTGGAATATTATCTGTATTAATATTAAACAAACATATTTAAGTATATATACTTTTATACATCAATATAAATTTTTTTATTTAAAGATGATTTTTTAATAATCTTTTTAACAAAGCTGATAGTGCTGAAGATAAGGTGGTAGTTTGTTGCTGGTTAACCACAATATATTTCTAAACAGTCATATATTTAGCTGTATTAGATTACTTATAAGTAAAAGACACTAATTAATGATTAAAATTTTTTGCTTTTTTTTTTTTAATGACAGGAATTGTTCTATATAGATTATTTGTATGCAATGCAGAGACAGAAATTGAGTTGATAGAATAAGTTACTTGTTAGAGGATTGGAGTCTAATAGGCTAAAAGTAAATTTAAATAAGATTATGCATTGTAAAGGAAAGAGTCAATGTGTGGGGTATGTTTTAAGGAAAGAATGAAGTTTGACATTTTTAGGAGAAAAAGATATTGGGAAATAATACTAAAAGTACTTATTAACAAGTGATATTAATAAAGATTTCAACATCAACTAATAATGTCTAAAAGTTATAAAAAGATCCACTGTCAATTAAAGTTTTTCCTGTTCCTGTGTGAGTTAAAAAATGTAAACAAATCATTTTTTTATTTTTAAGATAGTTTACTAAATGAAGTTATGCCTGAACTTTATTTTAATGAGAAATGTGCTAAACATATAAAACCAATTATGATCCACCACATGTAAGCAATTGCATACATAAAAATTGTACTGTGTATCATATTCTTAACCAAAATTAAATCTTATTGTTGTGCAAATTAATATATCTTTTAACTAATTTTATTATAATACCAACTTAAAAAGAAAAGAAAACTTTCTTCTCCAGACATAGAAAACTTTCTTCTCCAGACCTCCTGAACACGCAGTAGTTAGAGCTTAAAATAAAACTACTACGCAATAAGTACAAGATCTAAAAAGTTCCAAGAAATAATTTTGACTAAAAGAAATATGTTGCAAATTATATATATATATATATATATATATATATATATATATATATATATATATATATATATATATATATATATATATATATATATATATATATATATATATATATATATACATATATATATATATATATATATATAAACTACTTTAATATATACAATATTATATAAATTTATATTTATGCAATAATATATATTTATATATATATGTATATTTTATCTTACTTTTTGACTTGAAATTTAAAGTGTATATTATTTTGTTACTAATGATTATTATATTTATTTAAGGTTTCAGAAGCTCCAAAAGAAACCAAAATGCCAGAGCAGTCCTTATCTGCAGTTGATAAAGAAAAAGAGACTTCAGTTGACAATAAGATTGATGAATCTAACTTTATAGAATCATCCTCAGATTTGATTGTAACAACTCCTTCAACAGAAGCTAATGCACAACAGATATTTTATAAAGAACTTTTTAAAGAAAATGATGTTTTAAATAGGTCATTTGTTATACGTCGAGTTCAAAGTGCTAACAACCTTTTAAAGCCTGATTTAATTGAGTGTAGAAAAAATAGGACAAGGTCAATGAGTTTGACAGATATAAGTAGTGTTATAGAGAATACCGACCCACATAAATTAATAAAGAAGTCTGTTGATGATACACAGAAATTGGGTAATAAATCAATATCTGTCGTTAATATTTCAATGATGGAAAAACATTATGCAATCAATAGTAAAATTGAAAAGCACAATGATGAAGCTATAGAAACAAATTTAAATTTATCTTCTAAAGAAGAAACTTTGACACCAGAAGCAGACTTAACTAGTGAAGTTCCTACATCACCATCTAAAACAAAATGTCGTCCTTTTATAGATATTCCAGAATTTAATTGGTCCCAACCACATCAAAAACTTCTTTCTGAACTTTTATTCTCAATTGAAAAAGATATTCAAGTTTGGAAAACGCAAGTTTTTTGTTATTATTTTTTTTAATAAAATCCAATATATATATATGTGTGTGTGTGAGTGTGTGTGTGTATATATGTATATTTATGTGTTTTTATATATATATATATATATATATATATATATATATATATATATATATATATATATATATATATATATATATATATATATATATATATATATATATATATATATCTTTATATATCTATATATCTATCTATATATATATATATATATATATATATATATATATATATATATATATATATATATATATATATATATATATATATATATATATATATATATATATATATCTATATCTATATATATATATATATATATCTATATATATATATATATGTATATATATATATATATATATATATATATATATATATATCTATATATATATATATCTATATATATATATATATATAGATATATATATATATAGATATATATATATAGATATATATATATATATATATATATATATATTATATATATATATATATATATATATATATATATATATATATATATATATATATATATATATATATATATATATATATGTATTGCAGTAATTTTTGTTACATTTTTTAGATCTTGAAAAAAATATTTATTTTTGTATTAGGTTTTACAACTGATATAAACTTACTGTATAAATATTGTTAAAGGTCTGATCATATGGAAAACTAATTACTGATTCACAGTACATTTAAATTAAATAAAAAGATACATTTGGCTCCAAGATTTAGTGTTGTAGGAAGTTTAAAATGCCTATTGTATTTATTAGTATTTCTAGACTCGAGTATTCTTTGTATGGCTGCAGTTCTAACTTCTCTTATTTCATTATTCATAATTGTCAGTAATATATTTTCAGTTTTGGGAAAATACGAGTTTTGTTTTAAAACTTGCTTCATTACTTCCTTGTATTTTACATCATTAATTGAGTTTCTTATGTATTGAGCCTGATACCATTATATTTGAGTACCATCTATTGCTAAATAATGTAATTTAAATTGGAACCATCCTGATGTATAGCATTGAATAATAATTATAACCAAGTCAACAAGTTCTTTTGTTGCCATTACTGTAGAAATGCGTAGAACATGGTTCGCTCTTGTGAGCCACCGAGCATGATGAATGTTTCCAGGAGAACTTTTAGATATTTTATTTGAAACCTCTCCTAATTAATAGATTAATAGATTCTGTTAAGATATTTTTAATTTAAGCTTTGTGTACTGAGGATGTTATCAGGAAGTAAATGAAAAGCACCTTTTGCTTTATTTAAAAAGAAGTACTGCTAAATTAGTTAAGTCAATCAACTTGAACACATGTTTAAACAGAAGTTCTTTCAAATGGAGTTGATAAATGAACTACTGGATTAGTCTATCAAGTTCTGTTTCTATTATTTCTATCACTCCTGCATACTTACCAGTGTTTACTACTATTGCATCACATAAAATAGTATTTAAATATTTAAACTTTCAAATATGAAGAATTTTATCAGCAATGTAGCAAGAAGTTTCATTTTCAGGTATTAGATAATCTAAATAGCTGATGCTTGGTTTTCTAACTATCGTAATATGTTTCTTCTTTAACTGTTCTTGTAGCTGTTATTGAATTGTCTTTTCTTCCATCAAAAACGATACATTGTAATATCAAATTTTCACACTTTATCCCATTCTCCTCATTCTATTTATAAATCTTTTACATAATAGCAATATTTTACAACACCTCTTTTTGTAGCAATCATTGCTGTTAGAAATTTAGAACTCTGTCCAAATGTTAAGTTGTACGTATTACTGCGAGTACAAATTTTTCCACATAAATTTTATTATAGAGAGTTAATGTTGTTCATATTAATAAAGGATATTTATTATTTATTATTATTAAATAAAGGATGATATTAAAGTTATATACATAAAA